CGTCGTCGGCCTCCGCGAGGTCAGCCCAACGCAGCGGCGACTCCACCGGGGGGGGGGGGGCTGCGGCGAGCGTGAGGGGGATCGGAGGCCCCGACGGCTGGCTGCAGGTCGACGGGAGAAGGGGCAACGATGGCAGCGTCCGAGGTAGGGCAGACCGGAGGCGAGGGCGGCGGCGACACAGCCGCGGGTGGCGCGTCACCAGCGGAGTCGCGGGAGCAGGTCTCCATCCAGCCGTCACTTCCTCGGAGTACTATTTTTAGTACAAAGTTGTACTAAAGTTGCGACACTTATTCGAGATGGAGGGAGTATTAGATATAAAATGCACTTTGTCTATGTTTAGAAAAACAACAGTAACCATACTGATGCGACGTAGACGTTGGATTTGTTATTATTTGTCACGAGTTCGGGAGATTCCCCGCTAGCGAGTATTTTATTTAGGAAATCGTTGAGCGGGGGGAGGTGGAGAGAATCACCCACACGTAGATCGGCGATTCACTGTTTATTTCGAGACAATCAGTAGAGGAGGGAGAGATGCCTCACCCACTCGTAGCTCCGGCTGGCGATGCGATAATAGACACAGGGTCGCACAGTGCTGCATCTGGATCACGTGTAGTTTTCTCCTAGGCTAAAATTTGCCACACGAGTAATAATGCCTTCCGGTCGGACTGGGATCAGGTGACATGCGCTACGATGACATGCACGATGACATGCGGCCCAAATTTAAATTTAAACATTGCGAAAAAATCTGGAAAAAAGCATGCATGTTCACAGCACATACTAAGATAACCCCTAAAAATTTCAGATCAAAATTCGAAACATACATCAAGAAACAGAAAAGAGAAATCTGTCATGAATAGTTCCCGAACGGTTCTCTGTAGACTATTCACATCTGAGTTTTTCTTTTTTGTTTCTTGATGTATGTTTCGAATTTTGATCTGAAATTTTTAGGGGTTATCTTAATATGTGCTGTGAACATGCATGATTTTTTTCAGATTTTTTCGCAATGTTTAAATTTAAATTTGGGCCGCATGTCACCGTGCATGTCACCTGATCCCAGTCCTTCCGGTCATGCTTTCGCCTAGCATCTGATGTGAGCGCCGCTAGAGATTTGATGAAATGAAAGGAACAACTGAAGCCAAGATCTGACCGATCCGTTCTGAAAATTCTGAATTCCAACATTGGACCACATCGCCAGCCCCAGCCGCCTCCCCACCTACCCACCCCCCTTCGCCCTGGCGGCGGAGCAGGACCCGCGTCCTCTCCTCCCCCCCGATTGAGACCCCGGGGATCGGCAGCGACGTTTCCTAGTGTGCGTGCGTGCGTGCGTGCGTTCAGTGCTTTTTATAGACACGGAAACGGCAGAAGCAACGCCTTCCTCGTGGCAGGCGCCGGGCACGAGTGAGCTTCTGACCACGTCGCCGGTCGTCGGCCCGGCGGACGCACGGCATTAGTAGGCCCGGTGCAGTTTTACGTGCATAACTAAGCACGACTGAATCTCTTTCCATTTCTTACTGCGCGCGCTGAAGGAAATGGACATCGTCCTAATCCAACCCGAAATCCCTCCCCTCTATATATAACCGCAAGCACGCAGCTCACTTCTCCCGTTCCGTTCCCGACCCCTTCCCCGCCACAGACAAAACCCAGCGAGCCGCGCGCCTCTTCCTGGCCGGTATGGCCTGCTCCCACCTCGCCGCCGCCTCCTCTTCACCGGCGACCACCGCCGCCGCGCTGCGTGCACGGGCGACGTCCCCTGCCGCCGGTTTCGCGCGCCTTCCTGCCACCCTCCGTACGAATCCCTCCGTCTCCCTGGTTCTATCCCGCCCTTTCATTGCGGATCTGCCGAATCCTAGATTGATTGGGCTTTTCCCCTCGCAGATCCTGAGAACGGTGGGTTGGCCCTCAGGGGCAGGAGGGCGGTGACGCCGGTAGTCGCCGCCGCCGGGCCGGCCGCCGCGGCGCCGGTGGCCGACCGTGACGGAACCCCGGCCGCGGTGAAGCAGCCCATTATCGTCATCGACAACTATGATAGCTTTACCTACAACCTGTGCCAGGTATATATGGTTTCACATGTTCCTGGCCCATTCGCATTCCGGCTGCTTCTGGCCGGTCTGTGTATGCCATATCTTTGCCGGCGTAGAGGAGTCACTTGGTGGGTTGATCCGAACGTTTTAATGTTCATAGAGTTTTTATTCCCATGTTTTACTTTTTTGCCGTGCGAGCTGGTTCGAGCGGAAGTCGCATTCTCGGTCGAGTCAGGCCATATTTTCTAGTCAATAGTTGTTTTTCCATTTAAAAGGGGAGAAAAAGATTCCACTGCCCTCAAGTATGCTATTCGTAGCATGGAATGTTGTTTTAGGGATTCGGAATTATATATGGTCTGGTACAAGAATTTATCTTGCTACTTTTAACCTTATATGATGTTTTATCACAATGTTTTTTTAGAAGTCTTACACAAATGTATTTCTCTATTTGAGAAGCAACATGAATCTGCTAAGCATTTTTCTACATTTGAGAATTAACACGAATCTGCTAAATATGCTGTTAATGCCCAGTTGTTCTAATAAATCCTAACAACAGATGATAACATTTGGCAACCAACGTCGCAAGAATGTTTTTTCATTAGAAGTACAAAGTTGGATCCTCTGAAATCTATTCTCAAAGATTTTCCATTTATAATATGGCCTTCTAAGAAGCATTCCTTGTCTGAAAGTTCCAAATTAGAATCAAAATGCATCATTTGGTTAGGTTTGGTGTCTGTTTCAGATGCACGTACTTATGAGACGGTTAAATCTATTTTTCGCACCTTTACTTTAATATGACGTGAACACATGCTATGAGAAAACACGTCTTGCTGAAATAGAGTGTTTGATGCAGTATATGGGGGAGCTTGGATTAGATTTTGAGGTGTACCGTAATGATGAACTTACCATAGAGGAGGTAAAGAGGTATAGTTCTCTGAGCACCTCTTCAATTGTAATTTAGTTTCATTCTGGTCCAACGAAAGGGGCCATACCATATTACAACTTTGTTGATGATGTTCCTTTCTTTGATCTTATGTAGGATGAAACCACGAGGAATACTTATTTCTCCAGGGCCTGGTTAGTTTTTCTTACCAAATCTCATAACAGTCTAAAGTTTCTGACCTTATGAATAACATTCATATTTCTTCTTTAGGTGAACCGCAAGATTCAGGTATATCATTGCAGACTGTTCTGGAACTTGGGCCAACCATCCCAATATTCGGAGTTTGCATGGGTCTGCAGTGCATTGGAGAGGCTTTTGGAGGTTAGCTTTATCTCTATGGACACATGGTTTTCCATGATCTGTTATTCAGTCTTGCTGATGTTTTTTCTTCTATATGAATATACAGGGAAGATTATTCGTGTTCCTTCTGGTGTGATGCATGGAAAAAGCTCTCCAGTTTACTATGACGAAGTTCTAGGAAAGTCCATATTCGAGGGCTTGTCAAAGTATGATTTCTCAACCATTAAGTAAACCATGGATTGTCGGTTCTAGCTTACATTACATAACAGTTGACTGACTGCTATTGTAAACATTGAACTGCACACATGTTGTCTTTGCTTCTGCTTTTATGATAACCAGGAGTGCTTTCGAGCTCTGTTGTACCTGTTTAGAACACGCACTTACGTTTGTCTTGAGAAACTTTGTAGCATGTGCCATTCAATGGCGAGTCGAATTTTTAACATATTCAATTAGTATTGATGATAGTATGCTAGTATGGAGGTAGTTTTTTTTTCAACCACGGAAAACAATTCTGTTTGTTTCCTTGTTCAGTCTGGCACGTGTCCAAATTGAGCTTCTGATTTGACATGATCCTCACTTGGATGAACAGCCCTTTTACCGCCGCAAGGTATCATAGCCTGGTCATTGAGGAGGAAAGCTTCCCACACGATGAACTGGAAGTCACGGCATGGACTGAAGATGGACTTGTCATGGCTGCTCGCCACAAGAAGTACACGCATATCCAGGTATTTCTCAACTCCACACATTATGTGTCGCTTAGGCACAATTCTCCGCTAACTGATATATGGTGTAACTCTTCCAGGGGGTCCAGTTCCACCCAGAGAGCATCATCACCCCTGAAGGCAAGAGGATCATCCTCAACTTTGCGAGATACGTCGAGGAGTTTGAGAAGCAGACCTCCGAGGGGAAGTAGATGATTCAGGAATCAGAGCAGTTAGAGGAAGTAGAGACTATTGTTGAGAGATCAGGCAGGCAGGAAGGGGCCTAAAAGCCAAGCAGATTCAGAGAGGAATAAGGGAACAGAGCTTTCCGTTGCCATTCGTTTGGTTCATTGTAATATATCATTGTGGATGGAGATCCCGTATGAACTTCATTCGGTCAGTTATGTGCGTCGTGGTGCTCTTCCTCAAATAATAAATCGGTGGAAGCTGAAGTTGTTAGCAATTTTTTACTGGTTCCATGCATTCTGGCACAGTGCTTCAGACTTCAGAAGTTCAGAGTGTTCGCTATTTGTTCTCTGTTCCGGTTTATGCCTTTCCCAACTCTTTTATTTTTTGAGAAAATCCTTTCCAGCTCCTAGCTAACAGTGGACCGACCTGACAGCTCGGCCCATTACTGACACACAAGAGCCCACCACATGTGTCGAAAAAAAAAAAAAAAAAAGCCCACCACATGTGTCGAAAAAAAAAACCCACCACAGGTACTGGGCCTTCGCAGCTATGCCGACTAAAACCACCTTCCTTTTTTTCCCAGAAAAGAAGAGTAAAACCACCGCCTCTATAAATAGCGATTCAGATAGGACGAGAAGGGAGTCCAACGCACCATACCTCCAGCCCCCGTTCCCTTCCACCTGTCCGCCTCTCTCGCCTGTCGGCTCAATTCTGTCTGTTGCCCTCGCGAGCGGCGGCGATGGACGGTCACGGCGACGGCCGGCAGCCCATGCTGGAGAAGGGCCCGCCGAGCCACCGGGAGCGGCACTTCACGGCCGGGGAGGTGGTGCGCGACGTCATCATGGGCGTGTCCGACGGCCTCACCGTGCCCTTCGCCCTCGCCGCGGGCCTCTCCGGCGCCAGCGCGCCGTCGTCGCTCGTCCTCACCGCCGGCCTCGCCGAGGTCGCCGCCGGGGCGATCTCCATGGGCCTTGGAGGGTAACTTCCGATCCCTCCTCCTCTGCTTCGCTTCTCAATCACGCACCGCTCATCTAGCGAAGTAACCGAGGTTACAATACAGATTGTTTTGTCAACGCGCATGTCCGACTTAACGGGTAACTATAGTACAGATAGCGCGTAGTACAGACGCGTGTCAGCATTTGCAGAGACACATGGACTCTGGCGCTCTGCCTCTTCGTTTACCGCAGTTCTTACTATGGCGACAGAGATTAGGGAGATGCATCATGCATGTACCCTGCATCTCTGTATCTGTGCGAGTGATTCGGTATAGATATATTGATATCAACAGTAGATTAAGCTAGCAAGCGAGAATGGTTCTTGCTCCTGCTGTCAGAATTATGTCCAACTGTAATGGAGTAGAATGCAGTACTGCTTACAGTGAATCTACAGTTGTAGTTATGCACATCCTAGCTAGTAGTTGTATGTTATGAAGCTAGATCAAGTTAGTCATGACTACATATATTCACCACGGCACATGTGTGCGTGCTGAATCTTGCGTTGTTATCTCCTCAACGCCTGCTCATTGTTCTGCAGAGTGCATTGCACACACCTCGCTGTCTAACCGTCTGTTCTTCTCTTTTAGCCTCAACTGCAACTTGTAAATTACCCTCATGTCGACCCAAAAGATCATTGGGGAAAAGTTAGCCCGTGAGGTAGACAAGTGCGCGGACATGTGGCCCTCTTCGACGTGCTATTTCAGCACACTTTATGTTAACATCACGACTTTTTCAATTCAAAAAGTGCCCACAAATGGTAGTGGAGAATAATATTTGTCCCTTTAAACTGTCGAGAAAGACAAGATCACGTTGTTTACAATTCAAAAAGTGCCCACGAATGCATGATTGTGAATTTTCTGATCGGCCACTGTGTCATGTGGGTAGGTACCTGGCTGCCCAGAGCGAGGCAGATCACTACAAGAGGGAGATGAAGAGGGAGCAGGAGGAGATCATTGCCGTCCCAGACACCGGTACATGGACATAACTGGATAACAAGTACCAGATTCCCCCAGTGTGTATGTAACTTGCAGCCTAACCACCGTTGGTATTTTGACTTGTTTAATCATCATTCAGAGGCTGCTGAGATTGGGGATATCATGGCAGAGTATGGGCTCGAACCGCATGAGTATGGCCCTGTCGTGGAGGGCCTCCGGAGGAACCCGCAGGCTTGGCTTGAGTTCATGATGAGGTATATGACAAGCAGCTACTGACACTATGTATTGTTTCTGATTGTACTATACTGAAAGTGTAGATACTACCACAGAGCTGTCAAGACTGAAAGTGTAGATATTGACAAAGAACTGTAAAGAAAGCAAAGCAACTGTAACAATTAACAAGAGCATATTGCGTGTGATAGGCATGATTTCTTTACTAACCGGAGCAATGTATTCAGGTTCGAGCTCGGATTGGAGAAGCCGGATCCTAGAAGAGCCTTGCAGAGCGCTTTAACAATAGCGCTATCTTATATCATCGGTGGATTGGTCCCTCTCCTGCCCTACATGTTCATCTCCACGGTCCAGGACGCCATGCTCACATCAGTTGGAGTCACGCTGCTCGCGCTCCTTTTCTTTGGCTACATCAAGGGTCGGTTTACTGGGAACCGCCCGTTCCTCAGCGCTGTCCAGACTACTATTATTGGTGCTGTTGCCTCTGCTGCGGCATACGGGATGGCGAAGGCTGTGCAAGCTAGATAATCTTATGGGGTGCACTTGTATCCAAACTTTTCACTAGCCTGCAATGAATTCAGAACAGATGTGAATTTGCTTCTTTGAACAATGCATTATACAGTATTACATTGCAATCAGTTGCAGATGAAGCTAGCCTGTTCCTCCTTTATCTAAAAATGGAGTAGAGCTCTTACCTTACATGTAGTCATGAATAATTGTTGCGAGGATAAAATACTTGCGTACTAGCTCCATGTAAGCTGAACTGAGATGAGATAAAGTGAAATTAGTGCAAAAGTCCATCTTGGACTGAAACCAACATAACTGACCATATCAAGCATACGTTTTTATGCAGACTCGGACTCTATTGGGTAAACTTATGAAAGTTACTGTTCCACCACAACTAGGTTTAAATAGAAGCCATGAGCTAGAACAAAATCATAGAATATTAATATAAAAAAATCATAGAATATGCCTTATGATGATTTCAGGTTTTTCAACTATCAACCCAGCCTGAGAGTAGAGTTGCCTGAGCAAGGAGAATCATTTGAACCCTATAAGCAACCAATACTGCTAAATTTTTTGCTCAAGGCGTCTCAGAATTCAATTTTCAAGTAAACATCTGTCACCATCTTGTTTATTTACTAATCAGATAAGTAAAATTACAAAACCAAAAGACCATCTACCATGTAGGCTTTCCCCATGCTACGCTGCGAAGTAGTATCCCCCCATCGAGGAGTGGAGTAGCAATATTTGTCTGCCTAAACTTGCAGAGCCTAATCATATTGCATTTTTCTATCTCGGTTCTCGGAGACCGATGGTTCTCTACTGGTGAGGAAGTACTCATAAGATGCCTTTACCCAGAAACCTTATCTATCGTGGTAGCTCTTGGCTGGTTTCTTCTTGACAAGCTCGCTGATCAGTGAAGTATAAACGCCAAAATCTGGCACCATTCCTTTTGCACTTTTCAGCTCTTCAGAATCAGTAACTTTTCTATGCTTGCACTGCCCATCCAAGAGAATGTTGTATGTGATATCATCTGGGGACACCCCTATATTGAGCATTGCATGCAGAAGCATGTCGGCATTCTTCAGCTGCCCCAGCTTGCAGAGGCCACTCATAATCACGTTGTATGTCACAACTCCTGGTTTTCGACCCTTGTTCTGCATCTCCTTCAGTAGTTTAAAGCCTGTCTTCACGTCGCCTTTCCTACAGAAGGCGTCAATCACCATCGTGTAGGTCGTGTTGTCAGGCTCCAAACCAGCTTCAATCATCTCAACAAGGACCCTCTCGGCATCGACTGGCCGTCCTGCCTTGCTCAACCCGGAGATGAGTGCTGTATATGTCACCTCATCCAACGCAACCTCTTTGTCCACCATTTTCTGCTTGATATCCATCACCATGTCTAGCTTGCCATCCTTGCAGCAACCATCGATGAGTGTGGTGTAAGTCACCTTATCTGGCTTCAGACCTGTGCCCCTCATCTCTTCCACAATGCATTCGGCAGCCTTAAAATTTCTCGCCCGACAGAGCCCATTCAACAGTGCATTGTATGCCACCAAATCTGGCATCACACCCCTTGCCCTCATATCCTGGTACAAGTCCATTCCAGCCTTCACATCCCCATCCTTGCAATGTGCATCAATCAATGTTGTGAACACAATGGTATTGGGTTTCACGCCTCTCTCGCGCATTTCACCAAACATCATTGTTGCATCATCCATCCTCCCTGAACTGGACAAACCCTTTATCAGAGCACTGTAAGTGTAGACATCAGGTTTGATACCCATCTGCGTCATTCCCTTGTACAGCTCGTCTACACCGTCCAGATCGCGCGCTCTACACATGCCTGAAATCAAGGTGTTGAAGCTGACCACAGTCGGCTGCACGCTCCTCGTTCGCATTTCGTCGAACACTTTGCGTGCACCTGCAAGGTCCCCAAATCTAACAAAATCTCGCATCAGCACGTTGAACTGCCTGACCTCCGGGGGCATGCCGGCGTCAAGCAGCTGCAGGTAGAAAGTGTATGCTTCGGGGGTAGTGGGGAGCCGGCTCATGAGGCCGAAACACACGGGCGCCGGTAGGCGGGTGCCGCCGCGGAGGGCGAGGAGGACGAGGGAGCAGGCGTCGGCGAGGAGGCCCTCGTCGGCGTAGGCCGCAGCGAGTTCGGAGACGAGAGGGGCGGGGTCTCCGGGGGAGGCAGCGGGGAGGAGGAGAGGGAGGAGGCGTGGCGGAGAGGAGCGGCCGAGTCGGGAGACTAGGAGGCGGAGGAGCGGGCGAGCGAGGTCCGGGAGGCGGTGGAGGAGGAGGTGGTGGGACATGGAGAGGAAGGAGGAGGGCGTGTGGCGGAAGAGGCCGGGAGGGGAAGCGAGAAGAAGTAGGCGGAAGAGGGAGAGGAGCGGGAGCGGCGGGAGGGAGAGGGGGTTGGAGCGTAGGAGGGAGAGGAAGTGGGCGGATGTGAAGGCGGGGAGGAGTCGCAGGAGCGGCGCCGGCGCCGTGGCCGGGAGCGGGGCGGGGTGGACTGGCAGAGTGAGCGCGACTTCGGAGGCGGCAACGATCAGGGGGTCGGCCTCGGTCGTGGACGGCGAATGCGATGGCGGCGCCCGCGGTGCGGCGTACCAGGGGAGAGGGGAGGACGGCGCCGGCGGTGTTTCAGTGGGCGGCTGGATGCGCGGGCGGTGGCGGAGGGCTCTCCGCATGTTTGCGAGCGGTGGGGTGGGGACGGAGAGAATGAGACTCCGTGGAGTGAGCTTCGAGCCCGCCAAGTTGAAAGATGAGACGGCTCGGTCGATCAATCTGTTTTTAGGGAACGGTCGATCAATCTTTACAAGGTCATCTTTACTGGTTTTTTGTTTTTGTTTTTTTTAAGTGGAGCAAGCCCCGGCCTCTGCATAGAGTGATCCACGCAAACGTATTATTAGTGCAAAGTTTAAAGGTACAAAGCAAACACACCTGAAGCCGAATACCTGGCGTCACCACTGATGAGGATATAGACCTAGGATTCACGAAAAAGGGTTTCCCCCCGCTTTGTATTACAAAGCAAACATCCAGTACAACCAATGATAGGTGCTGGGGCGGAAGCAGCACAACCACGTCCAAAAGAAAAGAAAGAGAAAAAAGAAAAGAAATGAATGCCGATAAAGGCGGATCGACAAAGACGACGGAGCCTCGCGACCGCTGCTTCCACCGAAGATCGTCCCCCAAACTCCGAGACTCCGAAGCGCCGGTACCAATCAACACCTCCAAGAAGGGACGCGACGATGACGACGCTGCTGCCAAGGGTTTCCCCCGGTACACGGCGAGGAAAGAGGAAGGGTAGCCCCGACGCCCTCCAGGAAGGTCCGATGGCACCCTCAGGCGCCACCGTGTCGGTGTCGGCCAAGCCAACAGGAATTTCTCCCGATCCCATCCTCCACCTCAGGCACTCCGGAGCTCGCCACCAAACTGACCACCACCCTGTGCACACGGACACGAAGCATCCCACGCTGTCTCACCACGGTACCGCGAAGATGGCCTGCACAACGAAGAAGGGGAGCCGGGACTAGGGCAGCAGCACCGTCAGCATACTGGAGGGCCCCCACCTCCACCGTCCACGATGGTAGCCGACCGGACGCCCAAGCAGGAGCTTCCCGGGCCCGTGGCTCCACAGGCCCGGCCGGGCCCTCAGAGGCCCGGACAACTCCCGCCTCCGCGTCGCAGCATGCATGCCGTCGGCGTCGCTGCCCCCCGTCTGAGCTGCTCCACCACCTCACCACACAGACGACGACGAAGCCACGCCGGGGGCCGACCCGTTAGGACCCAGATGGGGCCCGCGGGCCCCGATCTGGGCTGGGGGCGCGCCACCGGCTAACCAGCGCCACCACGCCGTCGCGCCGCCAAGGGACCGCGCCACCACCGAGCTAGCCGCCGGCCACCGCGCTGGGAGGCCGGGCCGTCATCAGGCCGAGGGGCACCGCCGCTGCCTCCATGCCCCGGGAAGGGAGTCGCACGCACGGGGACAGGCAGGCCCCGCCGCCGCCAACACCACCCGGCCCGTGCCGGGGGCGCCCGTCGGCGGCACCAGGGAGGGAAGGCGCGACGAGGGCGGACGAAGGGGAAGGAGGGCTCGCGCCGCCCCGGCCATCTCTTGGGGAGACGGCGCGGAGCGGATCTGGGGGAAGGGGGAGGAGGAAGGGGAAGGGGCGGGGCTAGGACGGCCGGCGGCGGCGGGGGAAGGAAGGGAGGAACCCTAGGCGGGGGGCTTCACCATCAAAGGCACCCTAGGATTAGGTCATAGGCCTGACCTATACGCCCTATCCAAGGTCACTACCTTATAAGCAAAGGCACCCAAGAGACAGCAGGAAGTGCCAATTGAAAGCGTTGAGTGCAATCCACTCGACCAGTCATATCACTCGGGTACCCCCTCCTTATATCATTCGACCGTACAAGAAACCACTCGACCTACCGAAGACCAGGAGTGTCACGCCCAATATGCGACCCTATCCAAAAGGAACTCGAAGGTCCCACCAAGGATAGACCCGCATATTGAAACACTTTTGCAAGGTGGATATCATTACATCAACATTACATAATAGATGGGGATACATACATCAGGCATACAATGCCACACGAATACAACATCACAATACATAAGAGCATCATCCAGATACGGATGAAACACAAACAGAAACTCAAACGACATCCACCCTGCTAGCCCAGGCTGCCGACCTGGAACCTATCCCCTGATCGAAGAGGCAGAAGAAGAACTCAACACAAGCAAGCATCGCTCTCGCGTCATGATCATCGCACAACCTGTACCTGCAACTGTTGTTGTAGTAATCTGTGAGCCACGAGGACTCAGCAATCCCATTACCATGGGTATCAAGACTAGCAAAGCTTAAAGGGAAAGGAAGGGGTAAAATGGTGAGGCTGCAGCAGCGACTAAGCATATATGGTGGCTAACATACGCAAATAAGAGCGAGAAGATAGCAAGCGGAACGGTCGTCAACTAGTAATGATCAAGAAGTGATCCTGACCTCCTACTTACGTCA